CCCCCCTATTTCTAAACCCTTTTGCTGCTTCTTCTATTTAACGAACTGGCATAATTCAATGCTAGTATTTTGTTTATCAGATTTACTGATGATGGTTTACTCTTCCATGAGCATAATCGAAATTTGTGTAATTTAAGACACATTTGTCTTTTCTTTTGTGAAACCCAACTCGGGGCGAATGGGTTCATCACTCCAATAAAACATGGAGACACAAGTAATATAATATATAAATAATATACGAAAAATTCACCTTAAAAAAATCAAATTTACATTCTATGTGTGCTGTGGTGACGATCATTACCGTTACGCCTCTGATGTATGTTAGATGGGAAAGGTGTTTTTAATACGGTATTTCAAACTGAGACCTTGAATTGTTCTCCACTTCCTGCCCCCCCCCCCCCTTCCACCTTGCCCTCTTCCCTGGGCTCCTGACTCGTTTTGCTCCTTCTTACTGCTGTCTTTCAGCCACACCCCTGATCTTAGGGTAGGTGAGATCTAACACATAGACTTTTCGGATAACAACAAAAATATCTTGGAGGTCCCGTATGCAAGCTGCACACGTTAAATATCCCTTAGAGGTCCTAAAATCGATGAGTCGCTTCGGCCACCACCCTGGCAAAACTCAAAATTAATTCCTACCAAACTAAAAAAAACGCTTAATGTGTACCGCGCTCTCATACGACCTTATGCAGTAGCGAGCGCCGTTGAAAACTTACCAAAACCCAAAAAAATATGTATTTTAGATGGGAGGGGTCCCTATGCAAATTTCACACTGAGACCTTGAATTGTTCTGCGAATGGACGCGCATATTTCTATCTAAACTTCAACACGTGTTTTCTTCTTCACATAAAATCAGTTGATACCAAACATTAAACAACTTTATCTAGAGTACGCTGATAAAAACCTGTCTGAGAAAAAGATTTAAACGTCCAATAATTTCCCTCACCCTTTACACTGATACGTTTTAGGAGAAAATACATCGGAAGAAAAAATGTGTGGCATCGTGGTGAAATCAGACACTCGTCATAATACATGTAATGAAATCAAAGAAACCAACAAGTTTCCTCTTGTGGGGTAATTTTAGTCCATGTTTGTGTTCCGTTTTGTCTATTTAAAAATACATTCCTGTGTGGACTTGACTAAAAGAAAATAAATAAAAAGTAAACTCGCAGTTTCCAAGTAATCCAAGGACACGTCAGCTTTGGAAATCACCAAACTTTGCCGTCCATTTTCTCGCTCACTTTCCGTTTGACACCAGCTTCCCCACCTTCTTCACTCGCAAATATCTCAGCTTCTTTTTTAAAGACAGATAGGTATATTTTGATTTTAAAAGGACAAATAAACATAGGCTTTCAGATCATAACAACAACTCCACATGCCCCAAAACGGAAGAGCGCATGATTCCACCGCCTTGTGACACACAAAATAAAAAACAGCTGTCTCATAATAGTGAAAGGGGCATTCGTTTGTTTGTTTGTTCGTTTGTTCGTTTGTTTGTTTGTTTCTTTAAGTAAAGCGAAAAACATCGACGGGAAATAAAGTAAGATAGATAGGCAGACATAAACAACAGATCGAAAGTAAAGAAGTAGAACCTACCAATACCGCCCACCAATCACTCGAAAAGGGGGCATTCGAAGATATCAACGATATGAGTTATTTATATATCTATCTATCTATCTATCTATCTATCTATCTATCTATCTATCTATCTATATATATAT